TAGAGCTACTTAAGGGCTGACCTTAGAGCTGACCTTAGAGCTACTTTAGGGCTGACCTTAGGGCTGACCTTAGAGCTGACCTTAGAGCTACCTTAGGGCTGACATTAGAGCTGACATTAGGGCTGACATTAGAGCTGACATTAGAGCTGACCTTAGAGCTACCTTAGGGCTGACCTTAGGGCTGACATTAGAGCTAACATTAGAGCTGACCTTTAATCTTTGATCTTTCTTCTGCAACAACAGTAAAGAGAAGGAGACAGAGTCTGCGTCTGGACAGAAGAAAGTCAAAGAGGAGAAGGAGGACGAGAAAGTGGTGGATGTAAGTTTTTCATTTCAGACCCAGGACTGAGGCCGTAGACCCAGGACTGAGGCCGTAGACCCACCCAGGACTGAGGCCGTAGACCCACCCAGGACTGAGGCCGTAGACCCACCCAGGACTGAGGCCGTGGACCCACCCAGGACTGAGGCCGTGGACCCACCCAGGACTGAGGCCGTGGACCCACCCAGGACTGAGGCCTTAGACCCACCCAGGACTGAGGCCGTAGACCCACCCAGGGCCGAGGCCGTAGACCCAGGACTGAGGCCGTGGTTGAATCTTGCAGCAGGACTTTGACCAGAACAAGCTGGAGGAGGAGATGAGGAAGAGGAAGGAGCGTGTGGAGAAGTGGAGGGAGGAGCAGAGGAAGAAGGCCATCGAGAACATCGGGGAGATCAAGAAGGAGCTGGAGGAGATGAAGCAGGGCAAGAAGTGGAGCCTGGAGGACGACGACGGTAACTTCACCTTTTTATATTTCTGGGTCTTATGTTTTTCACTTTTCAAACCCAGCAGTGTGTTTGAATCCTAAGAAGATAAATGATGATCATTCTAATGCAGTTAGTATTAGATCTGTTTCCTACCAACAGAACTATCAGACTTTAGTGGACAATGGTTTATTAATAACATTTAAAACAAGAAGAATACAGTCTGTGGTTCATCCACTGAGGCCTCATTAACAGAACCCTCCCTCTCTCCCTCACCCCTCTCTTTCTCCCACTCTCCCTCAGCTCTCTCTCCCTCACCTCTCTCTTTCTCCCACTCTCCCTCACCTCTCTCTCCCTCACCTCTCTCTTTCTCCCACTCTCCCTCACCTCTCTCTCCCTCACCCCTCTCTTTCTCCCACTCTCTAACTCTCTCTCCCTCATCTCTTTCCCTCCCTCACCTCCCTCTCTAACTCTCCCTCCCTCACCTTTCTCTCCTCTCTCTAACTCTCCCTCAGCTCTCCCCCTCTCTCCCTCATCTCTCTCCCTCACCTCTCTCTCCCTCACCTCTCTCTCCCTCACCTCTCTCTCCCTCACCTCTCTCTCCCTCACCTCTCTCCCTCCCTCACCTTTCTCTCCTCTCTCTAACTCTCCCTCACCTCTCTCCCTCCCTCACCTTTCTCTCCTCTCTCTAACTCTCCCTCACCTCTCTCTCCCTCACCTCTCTCCCTCCCTCACCTTTCTCTCCTCTCTCTAACTCTCCCTCATCTCTTTCCCTCCCTCACCTCCCTCTCTCTAACTCTCTCCCTCACCTCTCCCTCACCCCTCCCTCACCTCTCCCTCACCCCTCCCTCACCTCTCTCTCCCTCACCTCTCTCTCCCTCACCTCTCTCTCCCTCACCTCTCTCTCCCTCACCTCACCCTCCCTCACCTCCCTCTCTCTAACTCTCTCCCTCCCTCACCTCTCCCTCACCTCTCCCTCACCCCTCCCTCACCTCTCCCTCACCCCTCCCTCACCTCTCTCTCCCTCACCTCTCTCTCCCTCACCTCTCTCTCCCTCACCTCTCTCTCCCTCACCTCTCTCTCCCTCACCTCTCTCTCCCTCACCTCACCCTCCCTCACCTCCCTCTCTCTAACTCTCTCTCCCTCCCTCACCTCTCCCTCACCTCTCCCTCACCCCTCCCTCACCTCTCTCTCCCTCACCTCTCTCTCCCTCCCTCACCTCTCCCTCACCCCTCCCTCACCTCTCCCTCCCTCACCCCTCCCCAGTCTGGGTAAACTGCAGCCTGTAGCTGTCTCTCAGGACAGAGTTTATCCTTCTGAGGTGTGAGCTTTTCTGCCATAGACTGTATATATCGACAGACGTAGTCAGGTCTATCTCCGCCGTTCTAACAATGGGCCAAAAATTTTACTTTCATGGAGTGATTCAAAATGGCCGTGGGGGCTGTAAATTGTGAAAAAACAGATCTGTGCATGCGTCAGCTGCACGAGCCCCATTCATTTAAACAGACTTCTAAAGTCCACAGCGACTGAACTAGACTGGTCCAGAACACTGACACACATGTGGAACGGAGCTTTGGGCCAAGAGACAACTTTTGGAACATCCTGTAAAGACGTTACAGAGAGTAACAGAGAAATAAATGTACATGATCCACTATAATGCAACAACTTCTCAAGGCCTGTAAGTTTAGGTAAAGACAAATGATTACCCAAATTGCAGATAAGAAATGAACGCAACTGGAGATAACAAAAAAGTGTTATTTGGGAGATTATACTTGAGCTTGTTGAAAAGACATCAAAGATCCTCCTTCAAAGCAGTCCTCCAAAGTATGAATTCCGTTGTTATGCCAGGATTGCAGAATGTTGTTGTTCAGAGTCAGTGGGATCAGTTCATTTTTTTCTCAAAGGCGACATTGGGGACAAACCAACTTTCTGGCCAGAACATTGATGTCCCTCATACCACACCTTAACGAGATGTAGAAGAACGGCCTTATCAGTTTCCTTAGACACAGTTTTTCAAGGCTATGCTCACAGTCAGAGAGCAGCCGTCCTCCTGTGGACTCACCACCTGCAGAGGGTCAGTGAGGGGCTGGTGCTATGAGACTTGGGTGGCATCTCTGACTGCCACCCCCCTGACCCAGAAATGGATTAAAGGGAAGAAAATGGATGGATGGCCTACTTAAGTTATTTGCTGACAAGCGTTTCTGAATAAAGCCACACTGATCAGGATTAATAATTTTAGGTAAAACTTGACTAAGACGATTCGCTAACAATTTAGAAATCAGTTTGTGATCAGCATTCAGCAGAGAAATAGGCCGATAGGAGGAGCATTTGAATGGGTCTTTATTATTTTTCAGTATTACTGTGATTACGGCTGTAGTGAAGGATTCAGGGAGTGTATGTGTTTTCAACGCTAATTGTGTTACATCCATAAACAGTGGAATGAGCAAGTCCTTAAATTCTTTATACAATTCCACTGGGAAACCGTCCTCTCCAGGGGCTTTATTTGGCTGGAGGGAATTTAAGGTTTTAGCTGTTTCTGTTTGGGTGAATGGAGAATCCGGTCTTTGTTGGTCTTCTTCGCCAATTTTAGTAAGTTCAATTTTGGAGAGGAAATTGTCAATTTGCGTCAGATCATGAGGAAGTTCAGATGTATACAAATTTGAATAAAAACGTTTAAAATGATCATTTATCTCTTCTGGGCTATATGACGTTTTCCCAATGTCGTTCTGAATTGCGTTGATGGTTCTGCTACTTTCCTCAGCTTTCAATTGCCATGCTAATATTTTATGTGTCTTCTCTCCCAATTCATAGTATCGTTGTTTTGTCCTTAAGATATCCTTTCAATCTTATAAGTGTTCAATGTGTTGTATTGAGTTTTCTTCTGGATTAATGACTGATAAATGTCCTTCGAGTCACTGCCTTGAAAGTCTTTTTCCAAGTTTGAAATAACTACCTCCATCTTTTCTATTTCTGCTGTGTACTTCTTCTTAAGGCCCTTTGTATAAGAGATTTGTCCTCTTAGGAAGGCTTTTAACGTGTCCCAAAAGATAAAGCTATTGGGCGAGGAAGGACTATTTGTTTCACAAAACAACTGTATATGACCCCTAACATATGAGCAGAAGTCTGGTCTCTGAAGAAGAGTAGAGTTAAGCCGCCATCGATATGGTCTTCTAGGCATATCGGGAAATATGATTGAGTCAGTGGTGAATGATCAGACAGTAACCCAGGTAAATATTCTGTATCTAACACTCTATGGAACAGATGGGAAGAGGACAAGAATAGATCTATTCTGGTGTGTGAATTGTGGGGGCATGAGTAAAAGGAAGAGTCTCGAGTTTGAGGGTGCATATGCCGCCAAACGTCCATTAGATTTAAGTCCTTCATAAAAGAGAGTAATGTTAGCAGCTTTAGACTTCGATATATTACCATAGACGATTTGTCTAAGGCTGGATCCAAACAAAAGTTAGTCCCCCCCAATTAGTAAATTGCAATGCCCTCCAGAAAGTTTGAGAAATACGTCTTGCATAAATGAGTCATCATCGTAGTTGGGAGCGTAGACGTTGAGGAGCGACCACTGCTCAGAAAGTATCCTACAGTTTACTAAGACATATCGTCCAGAAGGATCAACGATAGTATCGATCACTTCCAAAGGAGTATTCTTCCTGAGCAGTAACGCCACTCCCCTGGCTTTGGAGTTGAATGATGAGGATATAACCTGCCCCACCCATTCACGCTTTCATTTATTATGTTCTTCAGAAGTAAGGCGAGTCTCTTGGATAAAAGCAATATCTACCTTTAACTTTTTCAAATAAGTCAGGACTCTTTTCCTTTTGACAGGCCCAACCGTTTACATTAAAACTGACAAACCTCAGGACCCTATCCATTCAATTCTGTTACATATAAAATGACCTGACCTTTTAAAACTGTGACAATGAGGAAAGTGTTTGTAAAACATTATATATAGGCACGTGTGTGAGCATCTGAAAACTAACAAACAAACAAAACCCAGAACAAAAATAAAAGTGAGCATAATTCCCCTCAGTGCCGCTCCTGGAACATGTGGCACAGTTCCCTTCCTTCTAAACGGCCTTCTCGTCGTGAACAACGTTCTCTACTCTCTGGGGGCTCTCCGACATGATATATTGTCTCAAACATTCTTAAACTGAGTGTGAATATATGCGGATACGAGATAATAATAGAAATACCTTCAAGTCCAGTATGAAGAACATAACCGTGGACATATGGCAACACAGTGGCATGGTGCAATAGCGGGCAGCCAAACTATTCCTTTAGAAAAGCTGCTGCTTCTCCCGGTGTTTGGAAGATTTTCCGTTTCCCATCGGCGAGCGTTATCCTCAGGGTTGCAGGATGTAACAGTGAGTACTGTATATTCCTCTTCACATGGTCGGACTCCTGACGCCGCTTCACCAGGTTCAGACTTAAATCAGGGAAAAACATAAGAGGTCTGTCCTCGTACGTTATAGGACTCTTGTTTTCCTTGTATCGCTTTGCAGCAGTGCGTAGTATTTTCTCCCGATCTTGGTAGTTCAGCAGCCGGATCAGCACAGGTCTGGGTCTCTCGCTTGCGGATGGTTTCGGACAGAGTGTTTGGTCCCACGAACTCCTCACGTCCGAGTATGATTGGGAGCCAGTTGGTAAAAAAAGCCACTGGGTCATTACCTTCACAACCTTCCCGCAGGTTTAGTAAACAAATGTTGTTGCGCCTGCTGTAGTTTTCGGGTGAGTCAACTTTATCCATTAAGAATGTCTTGTCTTTTATAAGTTTGGCCACCTGGGCGCTCACGTCACTCAGCTCATCCTCCACGGCTCCTCTGCGGTCCTCCGTTTCGTTAACACGGGACTTTAAACCATCGAGTGCTGTCTTTAGCCCCGAGATAGACTGGTTGATCTCTGTCGTGTGTTTGTCCAGTTTGTCACTCAGGGCTTGATTCCCAAACCGAATTTCCTGAAGCAAGAGCGCGATGTCCATAGGTGGCGCGGTGTGCTCGTGCGCCATGTTGCTAGCTTCTTGATGCAAATCTTCGTCGTAACTCGGTAAAACATCCATAACTGCTGAGCAAGTTGGCTTATTTTTAGATCTCAGATCCATCCTCCTGTTAAGGAAGCGAGTTATAGGGAAACTAAGTTGATCCGCATGTTTTTGATGGTTAATATGGATAAATTATCGGAGAGCCTCCAAACTAGCGTCTGGCTGCTATCGCTGCATCACGTGACCCATTTTGGCCACTTTTGAGCTGGGACCCGCCCACACTGGTTTCTCCAGATTTTATATAATTATTTCTTTACTTTAATAAATCCTAATGTATTTCAGACGATGACGACGACACCTCGGCCCCGATGGAGGCAGACGATGAAGAGGAGGGGGAGGGGAAGGAGCCGAAGGATAAGGAGAGTAAGGAGGAGGTGCCAGAGGGAGGAGAGCTGGAGAAGGAGGTGGTGATGGAGCAGGAGGACGAGGAGGACGACGTGGACCCACTGGACGCCTACATGGAGGAGGTCAAGCAGGAGGTCAAGAAGTTCAACATGGGAGGAGTCAACGACAAGGTGTGCTGTTAGTGCGCTGCAACTCTGAACTTTTCCCGCTCTGGGACCATAAACGTTCTTATTAAACTAGAAGAACCAATAGCAGTTTGGACCACAGCGATTATTTAGAAAGAAGCAAAAAGGTTCTGGGTTCAATTCCACCTCCAGGCCTCTATGTGGGGAGTTTGCATGTTCTCCATGTGTCTGTGTAGGTTTCCTCCAGGTGCTCCGGTTTCCCCTACCTATAAAACATTACGCTACAATACACGTAACAAGTGTGTTAATGAGCCCTAACAGACTGCAGGACACGCATGTTGTCGTGTTCCTCATAGTGTGTTAGTGTGTGATTATGTTAGTGTGTTAGTGTTACTATGGTCCTCATAGTGTGTTAGTGTGTGATTATGTTAGTGTGTTAGTGTTACTATGGTCCTCATAGTGTTAGTGTTACTATGGTCCTCATAGTGTTAGTGTTACTATGGTCCTCATAGTGTGTTAGTGTTACTATGGTCCTCATAGTGTGTTAGTGTTACTATGGTCCTCATAGTGTGTTGTGTGTTACTATAGTTGCTCTGTGTGTTGTGTGTTGTGTGTTAGTGTGTTACTATGGTCCTCATAGTGTTAGTGTTACTATGGTCCTCATAGTGTTAGTGTTACTATGGTCCTCATAGTGTTAGTGTTACTATGGTCCTCATAGTGTGTTAGTGTTACTATGGTCCTCATAGTGTGTTAGTGTTACTATGGTCCTCATAGTGTGTTGTGTGTTACTATAGTTGCTCAGTGTGTTGTGTGTTGTGTGTTAGTGTGTTACTATGGTCCTCATAGTGTGTTAGTGTTACTATGGTCCTCACAGTGTGTTGTGTGTTACTATAGTTGCTCTGTGTGTTAGTCCACAGTGGGTTGTGTGTTAGTGTGTTACTATGGTCCTCATAGTGTGTTTTTGTTACTATGGTCCTCATAGTGTGTTAGTGTGTTACTATGGTCCTCATAGTATGTTAGTGTTACTATGGTCCTCATAGTGTGTTAGTGTTACTATGGTCCTCATAGTGTGTTAGTGTGTTACTATAGTGTCTCACAGTGTGTTAGTGTGTTACTATAGTGTCTCACAGTGTGTTAGTGTGTTACTATAGTGTCTCACAGTGTGTTGTGTGTTACTATAGTTTCTCAGTGTGTTGTGTGTTACTATAGTTGCTCAGTGTGTTGTGTGTTAATGTGTTAGTGTGTTACTATAGTTGCTCACAGTGTGTTGTGTTACTATAGTTGCTCAGTGTTTTGTGTGTTAATGTGTTAGTGTGTTACTATAGTTGCTCACAGTGTGTTGTCTCAGGCCAAAGGAGCCATGATGGTGACGAAGGTGGTGACTGTGGTGAAGACAAAGAAAGGTCTGAACGTCCACAAGAAGAAAGGAGAACTGATGGAGAACGACCAGGACGCCATGGAGGTCAGTGTTCATGTGTTCATGTGTTCATGCATCTGTGTTCATGTATTCATGTGTTCATGCTAGGGATGTACCGAATCCAGGTTTTTGGGGTCCGGCCGAATACCAAATCCACTGGTTAAGATTAGAGAATCATAACATCCCCTCTCTCCGGCGTATAACTAGAGCTAATTGGTCCGTGGGGATCACATGACCAGGAAGAGACCTCAGCGCACCCAAAGAGGAACAGAGAGCAAGAGGATATAAACCTCCGCTAAAGTGCATGTTTATTTACACTTCCGAACGAATCTGCCACAGCGCGCATATTGTAAGTGCAGGGTTCGGGTTCGGTGGGGAAAAATTCTAAGGTTCGGCCAGAACCGAACCCCGTCAAAAAAGCCAATATTCGGCCGAATCCAAATCCTGGATTCGGTACATCCCTAGTTCATGCATCTGTGTTCATGTGTTAATACATCTGTGTTCATACATCTGTGTTCATGTGTTCATACATCTGTGTTCATGTGTTCATACATCTGTGTTCATACATATGTGTTCATGTGTTCATACATCTGTGCTCATGTGTTCATACATCTGTGCTCATGTGTTCATACATATGTGTTCATGTGTTCATACATATGTGTTAATACATCTGTGCTCATGTGTTCATACATCTGTGCTCATGTGTTCATACATATGTGTTCATGTGTTCATACATCTGTGTTCATGTGTTCATACATCTGTGTTCATGTGTTCATACATCTGTGTTCATGTGTTCATACATCTGTGTTCATACATCTGTGTTCATACATCTGTGTTCATGTGTTAATACATCTGTGTTAATACATCTGTGTTCATGTGTTCATACATCTGTGTTCATGTGTTAATACATCTGTGTTCATGTGTTAATACATCTGTGTTCATGTGTTCATACATCTGTGTTCATACATATGTGTTCATGTGTTCATAAATCTGTGTTCATGTGTTCATACATCTGTGTTCATGTGTTCACACATCTGTGTTCATGTGTTCATACATATGTGTTCATACATATGTGTTCATACATCTGTGCTCATGTGTTCATACATATGTGCTCATGTGTTCATACATATGTGCTCATGTGTTCATACATCTGTGCTCATGTGTTCATACATCTGTGTTCATGTGTTAATACATCTGTGTTCATGTGTTCATACATCTGTGTTCATACATATGTGTTAATGTGTTCATACATATGTGTTCATACATCTGTGTTCATGTGTTCACACATCTGTGTTCATGTGTTCATACATATGTGCTCATGTGTTCATACATCTGTGCTCATGTGTTCATACATCTGTGTTCATACATATGTGCTCATGTGTTCATACATATGTGCTCATGTGTTCATACATATGTGCTCATGTGTTCATACATCTGTGCTCATGTGTTCATACATCTGTGTTCATACATATGTGCTCATGTGTTCATACATATGTGCTCATGTGTTCATACATCTGTGCTCATGTGTTCATACATATGTGCTCATGTGTTCATACATCTGTGCTCATGTGTTCATACATCTGTGCTCATGTGTTCATACATATGTGTTCATGTGTTCATACATCTGTGCTCATGTGTTCATACATCTGTGCTCATGTGTTCATACATATGTGTTCATGTGTTCATACATATGTGTTCATACATATGTGCTCATGTGTTCATGTGTTCATACATCTGTGCTCATGTGTTCATACATCTGTGCTCATGTGTTCATACATATGTGTTCATGTGTTCATACATATGTGTTCATACATATGTGCTCATGTGTTCATACATATGTGCTCATGTGTTCATACATCTGTGCTCATGTGTTCATACATATGTGTTAATACATCTGGGTTCATGTGTTCATCCTCTGGTCCATGATCTTCCTCACAGTTGTGTTGTTGTCGCAGTACTCGTCAGAGGAGGAGGAGGTGGACCTGCAGACCGCTCTGACGGGTTTTCAGACCAAACAGAGGAAGGTTCTGGAGCCGGTGGACCACAAGAAGATAGAGTACGAGCCGTATCGGAAGAACTTCTACGTGGAGGTCCCTGAGCTCGCCAAGATGACCCCTGACGGTCTGTGTGTGTCTGTGTCTCTCTGGCTGTGTGTGTCTGTGTGTGTCTGTGTGTGTGTCTCTCTCTGACTGTCACTGTGTGTGTGTCTTTCTCTGACTGTCTGTGTGTGTGTGTGTGTCTCTCTCTGACTGTCACTGTGTGTGTGTGTGTGTGTCTCTCTGACTGTGTGTGTGTGTGTGTCTCTGACTGTGTGTGTGTGTGTGTGTCTCTCTGACTGTCACTGTGTGTGTGTGTCTCTCTGACTGTGTGTGTGTGTGTCGCTCTGACTGTGTGTGTGTGTGTCGCTCTGACTGTGTGTGTGTATGTGTGTGTCTCTCTCTGACTGTGTGTGTGTGTCTCTGACTGTCACTGTGTGTGTGTGTGTGTGTGTGTCTCTCTGACTGTGTGTGTGTGTGTCTCTCTGACTGTGTGTCCATGTGTGTGTGTGTGTGTGTCTCTGACTGTCACTGTGTGTGTGTGTGTGTGTCTCTGACTGTCTGTGTGTGTGTGTGTGTGTGTCTCTGACTGTCACTGTGTGTGTGTGTCTCTCTGTGTGTGTGTGTGTCTCTGACTGTCACTGTGTGTGTGTGTGTGTCTCTCTCTGACTGTCACTGTGTGTGTGTGTCTCTCTGACTGTGTGTGTGTGTCTCTCTGACTGTGTGTGTGTGTGTCTCTCTGACTGTGTGTGTGTGTGTCTCTCTGACTGTGTGTGTGTGTGTCTCTCTGTGTCTGTGTCTCTCTCTGACTGTGTGTGTGTGTCTCTCTGACTGTGTGTGTGTGTCTCTCTGACTGTGTGTGTGTGTCTCTCTGACTGTGTGTGTGTGTCTCTCTGACTGTGTGTGTGTGTCTCTCTGACTGTGTGTGTCTATGTGTGTGTGTGTATATAGAGGTGATAATGCTGCGGTCGGAGCTGGAGGGGATCATAGTGAAAGGCAAAGGTTGTCCCAAACCGATCCGGACCTGGGTCCAGTGTGGAGTCTCCATGAAGATCCTCACTGCACTCAAGAAGTGAGTGTGTTCTGTGGTTTAACACACACACACACAGACACACACTCTGACAGACACACACACGCACACTCTGACCCTGTCCCTCTTCTCAGACACACACACACACACACACACACACACACACACACACACACACACACACACACTCTGACCCTGTCCCTCTCCCCAGACACACACAGACACACACACACAGACACACACACACAGACACACACTCTGACCCTGTCCCTCTCCTCAGACACACACACACACACAGACACACACACACACACACACACACACACACACACAGACACACACTCTGACCCTGTCCCTCTCCTCAGACACACACACACACACACACACACAGACACACACTCTGACCCTGTCCCTCTCCTCAGACACACACACACACACAGACACACACACACAGACACACACAGACACACACTCTGACCCTGTCCCTCTCCTCAGACACACACACACACACACACAGACACACACTCTGTCCCTCTCCTCAGACACACACACACACACAGACACACACACACACACACACAGACACACACTCTGTCCCTCTCCTCAGACACACACACACACACAGACACACACACACAGACACACACAGACACACACAGACACACACTCTGACCCTGTCCCTCTCCTCAGACACACACACACACACACACACACACACAGACACACACTCTGACCTCTGACCCTCTCCTCAGACATAACTATGAGAAGCCGACCCCGATCCAGGCCCAGGCCATCCCCGCCATCATGTCGGGCCGTGACCTCATTGGCATCGCCAAAACAGGAAGTGGCAAAACCATCGCCTTCCTGCTGCCCATGTTCAGACACATCATGGACCAGCGCCCCCTAGAGGAGGCCGAGGGGCCCATCTGTAAGCACTCATTTATCACATTAGATTGTATCTGTTTATGGTAATATAAACACTGTGGTTGTTTTCATGATAACATTAGACACTACAGTCAGACGTCCACTAGGGGGCGACACACAGAGCTTTTCATTAGACACTACAGTCAGACGTCCACTAGGGGGCGACACACACAGCTTTTCATTAGACACTACAGTCAGACGTCCACTAGGGGGCGACACACAGAGCTTTTCATTAGACACTACAGTCAGACGTCCACTAGGGGGCGACACACAGCTTTTCATTAGACACTAGTCAGACGTCCACTAGGGGGCGACACACAAAGCTTTTCATTAGACACTACAGTCAGACGTCCACTAGGGGGCGACACACAGAGCTTTTCATTAGACACTACAGTCAGACGTCCACTAGGGGGCGACACACACAGCTTTTCATTAGACACTACAGTCAGACGTCCACTAGGGGGAGACACACAAAGCTTTTCATTAGACACTACAGTCAGACGTCCACTAGGGGGAGACACACAAAGCTTTTCATTAGACACTACAGTCAGACGTCCACTAGGGGGCGACACACACAGCTTTTCATTAGACACTACAGTCAGACGTCCACTAGGGGGCGACACACAAAGCTTTTCATTAGACACTACAGTCAGACGTCCACTAGGGGGCGACACACAAAGCTTTTCATTAGACACTACAGTCAGACGTCCACTAGGGGGCGACACACAAAGCTTTTCATGTCCTCACTCTGTCCTCACACTCTGTCCTCACACTCTGTCCTCACACTCTGTCCTCACACTCTGTCCTCACACTCTGTCCTCACACTCTGTCCTCACACTCTGTCCTCACACTCTGTCCTCACTCTGTCCTCACTCTGTCCTCTCCCTGTCCACACTCTGTCCTCACTCTGTCCTCTCCCTGTCCACACTCTGTCCACACTCTGTCCACACTCTGTCCACACACTGTCCTCACTCTGTCCTCACACTCTGTCCTCACTCTGTCCTCTCTCTGTCCTCTCTCTGTCCTCTCTCTGTCCTCACACTCTGTCCTCACTCTGTCCTCTCTCTGTCCTCACTCTGTCCTCACTCTGTCCTCACACTCTGTCCTCACACTCTGTCCTCACACTCTGTCCTCACTCTGTCCTCACTCTGTCCTCACACTGTCCTCACACTCTGTCCTCACTCTGTCCTCTCACTCTGTCCTCTCACTCTGTCCTCACACTCTGTCCTCACTCTGTCCTCACTCTGTCCTCACTCTGTCCTCACACTGTCCTCACACTCTGTCCTCACTCTGTCCTCTCACTCTGTCCTCTCACTCTGTCCTCACACTCTGTCCTCACTCTGTCCTCACTCTGTCCTCACTCTGTCCACACTCTGTCCTCACTCTGTCCACACTCTGTCCTCACACTCTGTCCTCACTCTGTCCTCACTCTGTCCTCACTCTGTCCTCACACTCTGTCCACACTCTGTCCACACTCTGTCCTCACTCTGTCCTCACTCTGTCCACACACTCTGTCCTCACTCTGTCCTCACTCTGTCCTCACTCTGTCTTCACTCTGTCTTCTCTCTGTCCTCACTCTGTCCTCACACTCTGTCCACACTCTGTCCTCACTCTGTCCTCACACTCTGTCCTCACTCTGTCCTCACTCTGTCCTCACTCTGTCCTCACACTCTGTCCACACTCTGTCCACACTCTGTCCTCACTCTGTCCTCACTCTGTCCACACACTCTGTCCTCACTCTGTCCTCACTGTCCTCACACTCTGTCCTCACTCTGTCCTCACTCTGTCCTCACACTGTCCTCACTCTGTCCTCACACTGTCCTCACACTCTGTCCTCACTCCGTCCTCACACTCTGTCCTCACACTGTCCTCACACTGTCCTCACTCTGTCCACACTCTGTCCACACTCTGTCCACACTCTGTCCACACTCTGTCCTCACTCTGTCCTCACTCTGTCCACACACTCTGTCCTCACTCTGTCCACACACTCTGTCCTCACACTCTGTCCTCACTCTGTCCTCACTCTGTCCTCACTCTGTCCTCACACTGTCCTCACACTGTCCTCACTCTGTCCTCACACTGTCCTCACTCTGTCCTCACACTGTCCTCACACTCTGTCCTCACTCCGTCCTCACACTCTGTCCTCACACTCTGTCCTCACTCTGTCCTCACTCTGTCCTCACACTCTGTCCTCACACTCTGTCCTCACTCCGTCCTCACACTCTGTCCTCACACTCTGTCCTCACACTCTGTCCTCACTCTGTCCTCACTCTGTCCTCACACTCTGTCCTCACACTCTGTCCTCACACTGTGTCCTCACTCTGTCCTCACTCTGTCCTCACACTCTGTCCTCACTCTGTCCTCACTCTGTCCTCACACTGTCCTCACTCTGTCCTCACTCTGTCCTCACTCTGTCCTCACTCTGTCCTCACTCTGTCCTCACTCTGTCCTCACACTCTGTCCTCGCTCTGTCCTCACACTCTGTCCTCGCTCTGTCCTCACACTCTGTCCTCACTCTGTCCACACTCTGTCCTCACTCTGTCCACACTCTGTCCTCACCCTCTGTCCTCACACTCTGTCCTCTCACTCTGTCCTCACACTCTGTCCTCACTCTGTCCTCACACTCTGTCCTCACTCTGTCCTCACACTCTGTCCTCACACTCTGTCCTCACACTCTGTCCTCACTCTGTCCTCACTCTGTCTGTCCTCACACTCTGTCCTCACTCTGTCCTCACACTCTGTCCTCACTCTGTCCACACTCTGTCCTCACTCTGTCCTCACACTCTGTCCTCTCACTCTGTCCTCACACTCTGTCCTCTCACTCTGTCCTCACACTCTGTCCTCACTCTGTCCTCACACTCTGTCCTCACTCTGTCCTCCACTCTGTCCTCACACACTCTGTCCACACTCTGTCCTCACTCTGTCCTCACACTGTCCTCACACTCTGTCCTCACTCTGTCCTCACACTCTGTCCTCACTCTGTCCTCACTCTGTCCTCGCTCTGTCCTCACTCTGTCCTCGCTCTGTCCTCACTCTGTCCTCACTCTGTCCACACTCTGTCCTCGCTCTGTCCTCACACTCTGTCCTCACTCTGTCCTCACACTCTGTCCTCACTCTGTCCACACTCTGTCCTCACTCTGTCCTCTCACTCTGTCCTCACACTCTGTCCTCACTCTGTCCTCACACTCTGTCCTCACACTCTGTCCTCACTCTGTCCTCACACTCTGTCCTCACACTCTGTCCTCACTCTGTCCTCACTCTGTCCTCACACTGTCCTCACACTCTGTCCTCACTCTGTCCTCACACTCTGTCCTCACTCTGTCCTCACACTCTGTCCTCACTCTGTCCACACTCTGTCCTCACTCTGTCCTCACACTCTGTCCTCTCACTCTGTCCTCACACTCTGTCCTCACTCTGTCCTCACACTCTGTCCTCACACTCTGTCCTCACACTCTGTCCTCACTCTGTCCTCACACTCTGTCCTCACACTCTGTCCACACTCTGTCCTCACTCTGTCCTCACACTGTCCTCTCTCTGTCCTCACTCTGTCCTCACACTCTGTCCTCACTCTGTCCTCACACTCTGTCCTCACTCTGTCCTCACACTCTGTCCTCACACTCTGTCCTCACACTCTGTCCTCACACTCTGTCCTCACACTCTGTCCTCACACTCTGTCCTCACTCCGTCCTCACACTCTGTCCTCACACTGTCCTCACTCTGTCCCACACTCTGTCCACACTCTGTCCACACTCTGTCCACACTCTGTCCTCACTCTGTCCTCACTCTGTCCACACACTCTGTCCTCACTCTGTCCACACACTCTGTCCTCACACTCTGTCCTCACTCTGTCCTCACTCTGTCCTCACTCTGTCCTCACACTGTCCTCACACTGTCCTCACTCTGTCCTCACACTGTCCTCACTCTGTCCTCACACTGTCCTCACACTCTGTCCTCACTCCGTCCTCACACTCTGTCCTCACACTCTGTCCTCACTCTGTCCTCACTCTGTCCTCACACTCTGTCCTCACACTCTGTCCTCACTCCGTCCTCACACTCTGTCCTCACACTCTGTCCTCACACTCTGTCCTCACTCTGTCCTCACTCTGTCCTCACACTCTGTCCTCACACTCTGTCCTCACACTGTGTCCTCACTCTGTCCTCACTCTGTCCTCACACTCTGTCCTCACTCTGTCCTCACTCTGTCCTCACACTGTCCTCACTCTGTCCTCACTCTGTCCTCACTCTGTCCTCACTCTGTCCTCACTCTGTCCTCACTCTGTCCTCACACTCTGTCCTCGCTCTGTCCTCACACTCTGTCCTCGCTCTGTCCTCACACTCTGTCCTCACTCTGTCCACACTCTGTCCTCACTCTGTCCACACTCTGTCCTCACTCTGTCCTCACACTCTGTCCTCTCACTCTGTCCTCACACTCTGTCCTCACTCTGTCCTCACACTCTGTCCTCACTCTGTCCTCACACTCTGTCCTCACACTGTCCTCACACTCTGTCCTCACTCTGTCCTCACACTGTCCTCACTCTGTCCTCGCTCTGTCCTCACACTCTGTCCTCGCTCTGTCCTCACACTCTGTCCTCACTCTGTCCACACTCTGTCCTCACTCTGTCCTCTCACTCTGTCCTCACTCTGTCCTCTCACTCTGTCCTCACACTCTGTCCTCACTCTGTCCTCACACTCTGTCCTCACACTCTGTCCTCACTCTGTCCTCACACTCTGTCCTCACACTCTGTCCTCACACTCTGTCCTCACTCTGTCCTCACTCTGTCCTCACACTGTCCTCACACTCTGTCCTCACTCTGTCCTCACACTCTGTCCTCACTCTGTCCTCACACTCTGTCCTCACTCTGTCCTCACTCTGTCCTCGCTCTGTCCTCACTCTGTCCTCGCTCTGTCCTCACTCTGTCCTCACTCTGTCCACACTCTGTCCTCGCTCTGTCCTCACACTCTGTCCTCACTCTGTCCTCACACTCTGTCCTCACTCTGTCCTCACACTGTCCTCACACTCTGTCCTCACTCTGTCCTCACACTCTGTCCTCACTCTGTCCTCACTCTGTCCTCGCTCTGTCCTCACTCTGTCCTCGCTCTGTCCTCACTCTGTCCTCACTCTGTCCACACTCTGTCCTCGCTCTGTCCTCACACTCTGTCCTCACTCTGTCCTCACACTCTGTCCTCACTCTGTCCACACTCTGTCCTCACTCTGTCCTCTCACTCTGTCCTCACACTCTGTCCTCACTCTGTCCTCACACTCTGTCCTCACACTCTGTCCTCACTCTGTCCTCACACTCTGTCCTCACACTCTGTCCTCACTCTGTCCTCACTCTGTCCTCACACTGTCCTCACACTCTGTCCTCACTCTGTCCTCACACTCTGTCCTCACTCTGTCCTCACACTCTGTCCTCACTCTGTCCACACTCTGTCCTCACTCTGTCCTCACACTCTGTCCTCTCACTCTGTCCTCACACTCTGTCCTCTCACTCTGTCCTCACACTCTGTCCTCACTCTGTCCTCACACTCTGTCCTCACACTCTGTCCTCACACTCTGTCCTCACTCTGTCCTCACACTCTGTCCTCACACTCTGTCCACACTCTGTCCTCACTCTGTCCTCACACTGTCCTCTCTCTGTCCTCACTCTGTCCTCACACTCTGTCCTCACTCTGTCCTCACACTCTGTCCTCACTCTGTCCTCACACTCTGTCCTCACACTCTGTCCTCACACTCTGTCCTCACACTCTGTCCTCACACTCTGTCCTCACACTCTGTCCTCTCTCTGTCCTCTCTCTGTCCTCACTCTGTCCTCACTCTGGTCCTCACACTGTCCTCACTCTGTCCTCACACTGTCCTCACACTGTCCTCACTCTGTCCTCACTCTGTCCTCACACTCTGTCCACACACTCTGTCCTCTCTCTGTCCTCACTCTGTCCACACTCTGTCCTCACTCTGTCCTCACTCTGTCCTCACTCTGTCCACACTCTGTCCTCACTCTGTCCTCACACTCTGTCCTCACACTCTGTCCTCACTCTGTCCACACTCTGTCCTCACTCTGTCCTCACACTCTGTCCTCACACTCTGTCCTCACACTCTGTCCTCACTCTGTCCTATCTCTGTCCTCTCTCTGTCCTCACTCTGTCCTCACACTGTCCTCACACTGTCCTCACTCTGTCCTCACACTCTGTCCTCACACTCTGTCCTCACACTCTGTCCTCACTCTGTCCACACACTCTGTCCTCACTCTGTCCACACTCTGTCCTCACTCTGTCCACACACTCTGTCCTCACTCTGTCCTCACACTCTGTCCTCACACTGTCCTCACTCTCTGTCCACACTCTGTTTTACAGCTGTGATCATGACTCCGACTCGGGAGCTGGCTCTGCAGATCACCAAAGAGTGTAAGAAGTTTTCCAAACCTCTGGGACTGAGAGTGGTCTGTGTCTACGGAGGGACCGGCATCAGCGAGCAGGTGAGGCCCTCAGAGAGGGGCCCGCAGAGAGAGAGGGGCCCGCAGAGAGGGGCCCGCAGAGAGAGAGGGGCCCGCAGAGAGAGAGGGGCCCGCAGAGAGAGAGGGGCCCGCAGAGAGGGAGGGGCCCGCAGAGAGGGAGGGGCCCGCAGAGAGAGAGGGGCCCGCAGAGAGAGAGGGGCCCGCAGAGAGAGAGGGGCCCGCAGAGAGAGAGGGGCCCGCAGAGAGGGAGGGGCCCGCAGAGAGGGAGGGGCCCGCAGAGAGGGAGGGGCCCGCAGAGAGGGAGGGGCCCGCAGAGAGGGAGGGGCCCGCAGAGAGGGAGGGGCCCGCAGAGAGGGGCGGGCCCGCAGAGAGGGGCGGGCCCGCAGAGAGGGAGGGGCCCGCAGAGAGAGAGGGGCCCGCAGAGAGAGAGGGGCCCGCAGAAGGTTATTTCACTGGTTTTATGATGTATTTAAGGATATCGATGGGAACAGGTTTATCTTGGAGGAAACTGGACCAAGCACCGTCCACTCATTTATTTATTACTATTTCCATTTGGGGATTGATGGTTGGAAAGCAATGAAATGACCTTAAAATGAGGTATAACATGCAGTCACAGACAAGGAAAAGGTCTGGGACAAAACTTTAGTCTCCAGAGAAGAATTTCTTTTCTACTTGTAAATGAAATCATCCATGTTCTACTTTAGTTGAAGTGATGCATAAATTAGGACGTCAGGACATCAGGACATTAGGACATTAGGACGTCAGGACATTAGGACATTAGGACATTAGGACGTCAGGACATTAGGACATTAGGACATTATAGTGATGAGGACATTAGGACGTCAGGACATTAGGACGTCAGGACATTAGGACATTATAGTGATGAGGACATTAGGACGTCAGGACATTATAGTGATGAGGACATTAGGACGTCAGGACATTATAGTGATGAGGACATCAGGACGTCAGGACATAGGACGTCAGGACATTATAGTGATGAGGACATCAGGACGTCAGGACATAGGACGTCAGGACATAGGACGTCAGGACATAGGACGTCAGGACATAGGACGTCAGGACATTATAGTGATGAGGACATTAGGACGTCAGGACATTAGGACGTCAGGACATTAGGACATTATAGTGATGAGGACGTCAGGACGTTAGGACGTTAGGACGTTAGGACGTTAGGACGTTAGGACATGAGGACGTTAGGACGTTAGGACGTTAGGACATGAGGACGTTAGGACATGAGGACGTCAGGACATGAGGACATTAGGACATTATAGTGATTAGGACATTAGGACATTATAGTGATTAGGACATGAGGACATTAGGACATTATAGTGATTAGGACATGAGGACATTAGGACATTATAGTGATTAGGACATTAGGACATTAGGACATTATAGTGATTAGGACATTAGGACATTAGGACATTATAGTAATCAGTTGTGCTGGTGCAGATCGCGGAGATGAAGAGAGGACATTAGGACATTAGGACATGAGGACATGAGGACATTAGGACATTATAGTAATCAGTTGTGCTGGTGCAGATCGCGGAGCTGAAGAGAGGACATTAGAACGTCAGGACATTAGGACGTCAGGACATTAGGACGTCAGGACATTAGGACGTCAGGACATTAGGACATGAGGACATTATAGTAATCAGTTGTGCTGGTGCAGATCGCGGAGCTGAAGAGAGGACATGAGGACATTAGGACATGAGGACATAAGGACATTATAGTGATGAGGACATAAGGACATTATAGTGATGAGGACATTAGGACGTCAGGACATTATAGTGATGAGGACGTTAGGACATTAGGACATGAGGACATTAGGACATTAGGACATTGTAGTGATCAGTTGTGCTGGTGCAGATCGCGGAGCTGAAGAGAGGACATTAGGACATTAGGACGTCAGGACGTCAGGACATTAGGACATTAGGACGTCAGGACATTAGGACGTCAGGACATTAGGACATTATAGTAATCAGTTGGTGCTGGTGCAGATCGCGGAGCTGAAGAGAGGACATTAGGACATTAGGACATTAGGACATTAGGACATTAGGACATGAGGACATGAGGACATTAGGACATTATAGTAATCAGTTTGTGCTGGTGCAGATCGCGGAGCTGAAGAGAGGACATTAGGACATTAGGACGTCAGGACATTAGGACATTAGGACATTAGGACGTCAGGACATTAGGACATTAGGACGTCAGGACATTAGGACATTAGGACATGAGGACATGAGGACATTAGGACATTATAGTAATCAGTTGTGCTGGTGCAGATCGCGGAGCTGAAGAGAGGACATTAGGACATTAGGACGTCAGGACATTAGGACGTCAGGACATTAGGACATTATAGTAATCAGTTGTGCTGGTGCAGATCGCGGAGCTGAAGAGAGGACATTAGGACATGAGGACATGAGGACATTAGGACATTATAGTAATCAGTTGTGCTGGTGCAGATCGCGGAGCTGAAGAGGACATTAGGACATTATAGTGATGAGGACATGAGGACATTATAGTGATGAGGACATTAGGACATGAGGACATTAGGACATTAGGACATTAGGACATGAGGACATGAGGACATTATAGTAATCAGTTGTGCTGGTGCAGATCGCGGAGCTGAAGAGAGGAGCAGAGATCATCGTGTGCACTCCCGGGAGGATGATTGACATGTTGGGAGCCAATAGCGGTGAGTGTCCCGCCCCCTTCACGTCCGTCACACTGTCAGTCTTTACTTTAGTCATTTAGAGAAAACAAAAACAGTTATTGGCTCTGGAGGTGTGCTGTAAGCGATTCACATTGTTATAGTTTTAATATCAAGTTAAAAATGTCACTAAACTGTTATTATTTAACAAAGTCAGTTTAGAAGATGGAGGAGGCAGGTGGGTCGCAGCTGCCCTGGGGCAACACAATGTTATTATTCTAATATTATTGTTATTATGCATTAATTATAAGAATTGTGCATGGACTCTGTATATAATGTTTATTGATAAATATATAAACACAGTGATATTCACAGTGAAGAACATGGCTGAACTTACTCAAAACTTAAGAGTAGGAAAAAAACATTTGACAATCCATTTCCTGTTTGCTTTAGAGAAAGTCCATAATCTGCTTAATTCAGTCAGTTTGTCTTGTTTAGAGAATGTCACTGCTTTATCGGTTCTAAATCCATTCCACTTTATAATATATAGAGCACATTTTCTAAAACAACTTTCCGAACTTTTCCGAAGTGCTGCACTTCGGTGCTGAGATAAAAGTAAGATTTAAGTAAACAGGTTTGTAGCTTCATATAAAAAAAACATGTGACCTTTTTAAGAATATTTACCTCCACCATGTTTTTGAATTGTTTTTATAGACTTAGGGATTGGATTTATAAATGTCCCTGAGGCTGAGGACTCTCTGTGTATCCTCCATCTTGGAATACAGAGGCTGATAAGGGACAAAAATCAGTTTGAGCAGAAGTTATGGGCCACTGTCACAGACTCATCATGTCCTGTGAAGCTACTGCAGATTAACCAGGGGTGATACTAGGTGAGATACTTTCTCCCACGATTCGATTATCGATATGCATTTGCCAAGTATCAATATCGATTTTGAAAAAAAAAAAAACAATTTAAAAAAACAAATTGGTATCAATACTTAACTCATTGACTGCCAGCCATTTTTGATGAATTCACTCATTTTAAAGACCCACAGAATATATATGTGCTATGACTATGTGAAATATGAAACCAGATTCTGAAAGACTGGACTGTCTACTTTCAGCAGCAAAAATAAGTTTGTTTCTAGCTAGTTTTGTTTTCCTGTAATCGCCAGTCGGAAAGAGGGTCTCAGATAAATACGTCAATGGCAGTCAAAGAGTTAATATATGGCTACATTACGCATCTCCATTTATCATGAAATAAAGTGTAGTTTTTCTTTTATTTATGCCATAAATTGGCATATTGTATATTTCTGATATTATTTCATATCGTGATAAAATCGTTATCGTGATAATATAGTTATCGTGATAATATAGTTATTGTGATAATATAGTTATCGTGATAATATAGTTATCGTGATAAAATTGTTATCGTGATAAAATCGTTATCGTGATAATATCGTTATCGTGATAATATAGTTATCGTGATAATATAGTTATCGTGATAATATCGTTATCGTGATAATATCGTTATCGTGATAATATAGTTATCGTGATAATATAGTTATCGTGATAATATAGTTATCGTGATAAAATTGTTATCGTGATAAAATCGTTATCGTGATAAAATCGTTATCGTGATAAAATCGTTATCGTGATAAAATCGTTATCGTGATAATATCGTTATCGTGATAATATCGTTATCGTGATAATAGTTATCGTGATAATATAGTTATCGTGATAATATCATTATCGTGATGATATAGTTATCGTGATAATATAGTTATCGTGATGATATAGTTATCGTGATAATATCGTTATCGTGAGCTTTGTATCGTATCGTCAGGTACCCTTAGGTTCCCACCCCTAATCTCAACACCGGATGGGAGTAAAAACTACACAGTGCACCTTCAAAAATAACTAGAAAAAAAGTCTCGGATCCCAAAGACCAGAGCGTCTCAACCTGCGACAAACGACAACGTCCCAAAGTCTCATCAAACTTGTCTTTTGATATTTCTGTTGTGCAAAAGTTAAGAGATGTGTTTGCTTCATAGATCCAGTGGGTCAGGGCCGCAGGTTGGGAAGCACTGAAGCCAGGACAGTGTTAGCAGGACAGTGTTAGCAGGACAGAGCTAGCCAGGACAGTGTTAGCAGGACAGTGTTAGCAGGACAGTGTTAGCAGGACAGTGTTAGCAGGACAGAGCTAGCAGGACAGTGTTAGCAGGACAGTGTTAGCCAGGACAGTGTTAGCCAGGACAGTGTTAGCAGGACAGAGCTAGCAGGACAGTGTTAGCAGTACAGAGCTAGGACAGGGCGTTCCTTCCACACATGCGCGGTAACCTGTAATATGTTCCCTGTTGTAGGTGGCCGAGGCTTAGGCTTCTGCTGGCTCCGTCTGTGTTTTGTTTGAGGCTGTTTTGACTTTTCAGGTCCCTCTGTCCCTGAGATGGTACGAACCCCAGCCCCAAAGACAAGCACCGAACATAAAGGATCCACTCATATCATGTATTTGGTTTAGTCCATGGCAAAGATGGACTGATCCATTCCTCTAGTTTGTTATTCACATCATGCACCATCGTAAAACACTGACGTCACAGTTACTTTGATTTAAAGTCAGAAGAAAACTGACCGCAGTCTCTCTCTCTGGTCTCTCTCCGGTCTCTCTCCGGTCTCTCTCTGGTCTCTCTCTGGTCTCTCTCTGGTCTCTCTCTGGTCTCTCTCTGGTCTCTCTCTGGTCTCTCTCTGGTCTCTCTCTCTCTGGCCTCTCTCTGGTCTCTCTCTGGTCTCTCTCTCTGGTCTCTCTCTGGTCTCTCTCTCTCTGGTCTCTCTCTGGTCTCTCTCTGGTCTCTCTCTGGTCTCTCTCTGGTCTCTCTCTGGTCTCTCTCTGGTCTCTCTCTGGTCTCTCTCTGGTCTCTCTCTGGTCTCTCTCTGGTCTCTCTCTGGTCTCTCTCTCTGGTCTCTCTCTGGTCTCTCTCTCTCTGGTCTCTCTCAGGTCTCTCTCTGGTCTCTCTCTGGTCTCTCTCTCTGGTCTCTCTCTGGTCTCTCTCTGGTCTCTCTCTGGTCTCTCTCTCTGGTGTCTCTCTGGTCTCTCTCTGGTGTCTCTCTGGTGTCTCTCTGGTCTCTCTCTGGTTTCTCTCTGGTCTCTCTCTCTGGTCTCTCTCTGGTCTCTCTCAGGTCTCTCTCAGGTCTCTCTCAGGTCTCTCTCAGGTCTCTCTCAGGTCTCTCTCTGGTCTCTCTCTGGTCTCTCTCTGGTCTCTCTCTGGTCTCTCTCTGGTCTCTCTCTGGTCTCTCTCTGGTCTCTCTCAGGTCTCTCTCAGGTCTCTCTCAGGTCTCTCTCAGGTCTCTCTCAGGTCTCTCTCAGGTCTCTCTCTGGTCTCTCTCTGGTCTCTCTCTGGTGTCTCTCTGGTCTCTCTCTGGTCTCTCTCTCTGGTCTCTCTCTGGTCTCTCTCTGGTCTCTCTCTGGTTTCTCTCTGGTCTCTCTCTGGTCTCTCTCTGGTCTCTCTCTGGTCTCTCTCTGGTCTCTCTCTCTGGTCTCTCTCTGGTCTCTCTCTCTGGTCTCTCTCTGGTCTCTCTCTCTGGTCTCTCTCTCTGGTCTCTCTCTCTGCTCTCTCTCTCTGGTCTCTCTCTGGTCTCTCTCTGGTCTCTCTCTGGTCTCTCTCTCTGGTCTCTCTCTGGTCTCTCTCTCTGGTCTCTCTCTGGTCTCTCTCTCTGGTCTCTCTCTCTGGTCTCTCTCTCTGGTCTCTCTCTCTGGTCTCTCTCTCTGGTCTCTCTCTCTCTCTGGTCTCTCTCTCTCTGGTCTCTCTCTCTCTGGTCTCTCTCTCTGGTCTCTCTCTCTCTCTGGTCTCTCTCTCTCTCTGGTCTCTCTCTCTGGTCTCTCTCTGGTCTCTCTCTCTGGTCTCTCTCTCTCTGGTCTCTCTCTCTGGTGTCTCTCTGGTGTCTCTCTGGTGTCTCTCTGGTCTCTCTCTGGTCTCTCTCTGGTCTCTCTCTGGTCTCTCTCTGGTCTCTCTCTGGTCTCTCTCTGGTCTCTCTCTGGTGTCTCTCTGGTGTCTCTCTGGTCTCTCTCTGGTCTCTCTCTGGTGTCTCTCTGGTGTCTCTCTGGTCTCTCTCTGGTCTCTCTCTGGTCTCTCTCTCTGGTCTCTCTCTCTGGTCTCTCTCTCTCTGGTCTCTCTCTCTCTGGTCTCTCTCTCTGGTCTCTCTCTCTGGTCTCTCTCTCTGGTCTCTCTCTCTGGTCTCTCTCTCTCTCTGGTCTCTCTCTCTCTGGTCTCTCTCTCTGGTCTCTCTCTCTCTGGTCTCTCTCTCTCTGGTCTCTCTCTGGTCTCTCTCTCTGGTGTCTCTCTGGTGTCTCTCTGGTCTCTCTCTGGTCTCTCTCTGGTCTCTCTCTGGTCTCTCTCTGGTGTCTCTCTGGTCTCTCTCTGGTCTCTCTCTGGTCTCTCTCTGGTCTCTCTCTGGTCTCTCTCTGGTCTCTCTCTGGTCTCTCTCTGGTCTCTCTCTGGTCTCTCTCTGGTCTCTCTCTGGTGTCTCTCTGGTGTCTCTCTGGTCTCTCTCTGGTGTCTCTCTGGTGTCTCTCTGGTGTCTCTCTGGTCTCTCTCTGGTCTCTCTCTGGTCTCTCTCTCTCTGGTCTCTCTCTCTCTGGTCTCTCTCTCTCTGGTCTCTCTCTCTCTGGTCTCTCTCTCTGGTCTCTCTCTCTGGTCTCTCTCTCTGGTCTCTCTCTCTCTCTGGTCTCTCTCTCTGGTCTCTCTCTGGTCTCTCTCTCTGGTCTCTCTCTCTCTGGTCTCTCTCTCTCTGGTCTCTCTCTGGTCTCTCTCTCTGGTGTCTCTCTGGTGTCTCTCTGGTCTCTCTCTGGTCTCTCTCTGGTCTCTCTCTGGTCTCTCTCTGGTCTCTCTCTGGTGTCTCTCTGGTGTCTCTCTGGTCTCTCTCTGGTCTCTCTCTCTGGTCTCTCTCTCTCTGGTCTCTCTCTCTGGTCTCTCTCCCTGCTCTCTCTCTGGTCTCTCTCTCTGGTCTCTCTCCCTGCTCTCTCTCTGGTCTCTCTCTCTGGTCTCTCTCTCTCTGGTCTCTCTCTCTGGTCTCTCTCTGGTCTCTCTCTCTGGTCTCTCTCTCTCTGGTCTCTCTCTCTCTGGTCTCTCTCTGGTCTCTCTCTGGTCTCTCTCTCTGGTGTCTCTCTGGTGTCTCTCTGGTGTCTCTCTGGTCTCTCTCTGGTCTCTCTCTGGTCTCTCTCTGGTCTCTCTCTGGTCTCTCTCTGGTCTCTCTCTGGTGTCTCTCTGGTGTCTCTCTGGTCTCTCTCTGGTGTCTCTCTGGTGTCTCTCTCTGGTGTCTCTCTGGTCTCTCTCTGGTCTTCCCCTGGTCTCTCTCTGGTCTCTCTCTGGTCTCTCTCTCTGGTCTTCCCCTGCTCTCTCTCTGGTCTCTCTCTCTGGTCTCTCTCTGGTCTCTCTCTGGTCTCTCTCTGGTCTCTCTCTGGTCTCTCTCTCTGGTCTCTCTCTGGTCTCTCTCTCTGGTCTGTCTCTCTGGGTCTCTCTCTCTGGTCTCTCTCTCTGGTCTCTCTCTCTGGTCTCTCTCTGATCTCTCTCTCTGGTCTCTCTCTGGTCTCTCTCTCTGGTCTCTCTCTCTCTGGTCTCTCTCTCTGGTCTCTCTCTGATCTCTCTCTCTGGTCTCTCTCTCTGGTCTCTCTCTCTCTGGTCTCTCTCTGGTCTCTCTCTGATCTCTCTCTGGTCTCTCTCTCTGGTCTCTCTCTCTCTGGTCTTCCCCTGCTCTCTCTCTGGTCTCTCTCTCTGGTCTCTCTCTGGTCTCTCTCTGGTCTCTCTCTCTGGTCTCTCTCTGATCTCTCTCTCTGGTCTCTCACTCTGGTCTCTCTCTCTGGTCTCTCTCTCTCTGGTCTCTCTCTCTGGTCTCTCTCTGATCTCTCTCTCTGGTCTCTCTCTCTGGTCTCTCTCTCTCTGGTCTCTCTCTGGTCTCTCTCTGATCTCTCTCTCTGGTCTCTCTCTCTGGTCTCTCTCTCTCTGGTCTTCCCCTGCTCTCTCTCTGGTCTCTCTCTCTGGTCTCTCTCTGGTCTCTCTCTGGTCTCTCTCTGGTCTCTCTCTGGTCTCTCTCTCTGGTCTCTCTCTGATCTCTCTCTCTGATCTCTCTCTCTGGTCTCTCTCTCTGGTCTCTCTCTCTCTGGTCTTCCCCTGCTCTCTCTCTGGTCTCTCTCTCTGGTCTCTCTCTGGTCTCTCTCTGGTCTCTCTCTGGTCTCTCTCTCTGGTCTCTCTCTGATCTCTCTCTCTGGTCTCTCTCTCTGGTCTCTCTCTCTGGTCTCTCTCTCTCTGGTCTCTCTCTCTGGTCTCTCTCTCTGGTCTCTCTCTCTCTGGTCTCTCTCTGGTCTCTCTCTGATCTCTCTCTCTGATCTCTCTCTCTGGTCTCTCTCTCTGGTCTCTCTCTCTCTGGTCTCTCTCTCTGGTCTCTCTCTGGTCTCTCTCTCTGGTCTCTCTCTCTGGTCTCTCTCTCTGGTCTCTCTCTGATCTCTCTCTCTGGTCTCTCTCTCTCTGGTCTCTCTCTGGTCTCTCTCTGATCTCTCTCTCTGATCTCTCTCTCTGGTCTCTCTCTCTGGTCTCTCTCTCTCTGGTCTCTCTCTCTGGTCTCTCTCTGGTCTCTCTCTCTGGTCTCTCTCTCTGGTCTCTCTCTCTGGTCTCTCTCTCTCTGGTCTCTCTCTCTGGTCTCTCTCTGGTCTCTCTCTCTCTGGTCTCTCTCTGGTCTCTCTCTCTGGTCTCTCTCTCTGGTCTCTCTCTCTCTGGTCTCTCTCTCACTTCAGTTCAGGTGGTCAGTAAATTGTGAGAGCTGCTAATGACAGGATTCACTTATTGTGGGTTATCTTTAGAACACATCACCCCTGTGTTATACCAGGGACATGTGTGTTACCATGTGTGTGTGACCATGTGTGTGTGACCATGTCTGTGTTACCATGTGTGTGTGACCATGTGTGTTATCATGTGTGTGACCATGTGTGTGTTGTTGTGGTGACAGGTCGTGTCACTAACCTCCGCAGATCCACGTACGTCGTGTTGGATGAAGCAGACCGGATGTTTGACATGGGCTTTGAACCACAGGTGACACATCAAACACACCTGCAGTGGGTTTTAGATCCATCCACGCTCATATAAAGGACTTAGGCCACAAACACACCTGCAGTGGGTTTTAGATCCATCCACGCTCATATAAAGGACTTAGGCCACAAACACACCTGCAGTGGGTTTTAGATCCATCCACGCTCATATAAAGGACTTAGGCCACAAACACACCTGCAGTGGGTTTTAGATCCATCCACGCTCATATAAAGGACTTAGGCCACACACACACCTGCAGTGGGTTTTAGATCCATCCACGCTCATATAAAGGACTTAGGCCACAAACACACCTGCAGTGGGTTTTAGATCCATCCATGCTCATATAAAGGACTTAGGCCACAAACACACCTGCAGTGGGTTTTAGATCCATCCACGCTCATATAAAGGACTTAGGCCACAAACACACCTGCAGTGGGTTTTAGATCCATCCACGCTCATATAAAGGACTTAGGCCACAAACACACCTGCAGTGGGTTTTAGATCCATCCACGCTCATATAAAGGACTTAGGCCACAAACACACCTGCAGTGGGTTTTAGATCCATCCACGCTCATATAAAGGACTTAGGCCACAAACACACCTGCAGTGGGTTTTAGATCCATCCATGCTCATATAAAGGACTTAGGCCACAAACACACCTGCAGTGGGTTTTAGATCCATCCACGCTCATATAAAGGACTTAGGCCACAAACACACCTGCAGTGGGTTTTAGATCCATCCACGCTCATATAAAGGACTTAGGCCACACACACACCTGCAGTGGGTTTTAGATCCATCCACGCTCATATAAAGGACTTAGGCCACAAACACACCTGCAGTGGGTTTTAGATCCATCCACGCTCATATAAAGGACTTAGGCCACAAACACACCTGCAGTGGGTTTTAGATCCATCCACGCTCATATAAAGGACTTAGGCCACAAACACACCTGCAGTGGGTTTTAGATCCATCCACGCTCATATAAAGGACTTAGGCCACAAACACACCTGCAGTGGGTTTTAGATCCATCCACGCTCATATAAAGGACTTAGGCCACAAACACACCTGCAGTGGGTTTTAGATCCATCCACGCTCATATAAAGGACTTAGGCCACACACACACCTGCAGTGGGTTTTAGATCCATCCACGCTCATATAAAGGACTTAGGCCACAAACACACCTGCAGTGGGTTTTAGATCCATCCATGCTCATATAAAGGACTTAGGCCACAAACACACCTGCAGTGGGTTTTAGATCCATCCACGCTCATATAAAGGACTTAGGCCACAAACACACCTGCAGTGGGTTTTAGATCCATCCACGCTCATATAAAGGACTTAGGCCACAAACACACCTGCAGTGGTTTTTAGATCCATCCACGCTCATATAAAGGACTTAGACCACAAACACACCTGCAGTGGGTTTTAGATCCATCCACGCTCATATAAAGGACTTAGGCCACAAACACACCTGCAGTGGGTTTTAGATCCATCCATGCTCATATAAAGGACTTAGGCCACAAACACACCTGCAGTGGGTTTTAGATCCATCCACGCTCATATAAAGGACTTAGGCCACAAACACACCTGCAGTGGGTTTTAGATCCATCCATGCTCATATAAAGGACTTAGGCCACAAACACACCTGCAGTGGGTTTTAGATCCATCCACGCTCATATAAAGGACTTAGGCCACAAACACACCTGCAGTGGGTTTTAGATCCATCCACGCTCATATAAAGGACTTAGGCCACAAACACACCTGCAGTGGGTTTTAGATCCATCCACGCTCATATAAAGGACTTAGGCCACAAACACACCTGCAGTGGGTTTTAGATCCATCCACGCTCATATAAAGGACTTAGGCCACAAACACACCTGCAGTGGGTTTTAGATCCATCCACGCTCATATAAAGGACTTAGGCCACAAACACACCTGCAGTGGGTTTTAGATCCATCCACGCTCATATAAAGGACTTAGGCCACAAACACACCTGCAGTGGGTTTTAGATCCATCCACGCTCATATAAAGGACTTAGGCCACAAACACACCTGCAGTGGGTTTTAGATCCATCCATGCTCATATAAAGGACTTAGGCCACAAACACACCTGCAGTGGGTTTTAGATCCATCCATGCTCATATAAAGGACTTAGGCCACAAACACACCTGCAGTGGGTTTTAGATCCATCCACGCTCATATAAAGGACTTAGGCCACAAACACACCTGCAGTGGGTTTTAGATCCATCCACGCTCATATAAAGGACTTAGGCCACAAACACACCTGCAGTGGGTTTTAGATCCATCCACGCTCATATAAAGGACTTAGGCCACAAACACACCTGCAGTGGGTTTTAGATCCATCCACGCTCATATAAAGGACTTAGGCCACAAACACACCTGCAGTGGGTTTTAGATCCATCCACGCTCATATAAAGGACTTAGGCCACAAACACACCTGCAGTGGGTTTTAGATCCATCCACGCTCATATAAAGGACTTAGGCCACAAACACACCTGCAGTGGGTTTTAGATCCATCCACGCTCATATAAAGGACTTAGGCCACAAACACACCTGCAGTGGGTTTTAGATCCATCCACGCTCATATAAAGGACTTAGGCCACAAACACACCTGCAGTGGGTTTTAGATCCATCCACGCTCATATAAAGGACTTAGGCCACAAACACACCTGCAGTGGGTTTTAGATCCATCCACGCTCATATAAAGGACTTAGGCCACAAACACACCTGCAGTGGGTTTTAGATCCATCCACGCTCATATAAAGGACTTAGGCCACAAACACACCTGCAGTGGGTTTTAGATCCATCCACGCTCATATAAAGGACTTAGGCCACAAACACACCTGCAGTGGGTTTTAGATCCATCCACGCTCATATAAAGGACTTAGGCCACAAACACACCTGCAGTGGGTTTTAGATCCATCCACGCTCATATAAAGGACTTAGGCCACAAACACACCTGCAGTGGGTTTTAGATCCATCCACGCTCATATAAAGGACTTAGGCCACAAACACACCTGCAGTGGGTTTTAGATCCATCCACGCTCATATAAAGGACTTAGGCCACAAACACACCTGCAGTGGGTTTTAGATCCATCCACGCTCATATAAAGGACTTAGGCCACAAACACACCTGCAGTGGGTTTTAGATCCATCCACGCTCATATAAAGGACTTAGGCCACAAACACACCTGCAGTGGGTTTTAGATCCATCCACGCTCATATAAAGGACTTAGGCCACAAACACACCTGCAGTGGGTTTTAGATCCATCCACGCTCATATAAAGGACTTAGGCCACAAACACACCTGCAGTGGGTTTTAGATCCATCCACGCTCATATAAAGGACTTAGGCCACAAACACACCTGCAGTGGGTTTTTAGATCCATCCACGCTCATATAAAGGACTTAGGCCACAAACACACCTGCAGTGGGTTTTAGATCCATCCACGCTCATATAAAGGACTTAGGCCACAAACACACCTGCAGTGGGTTTTAGATCCATCCACGCTCATATAAAGGACTTAGGCCACAAACACACCTGCAGTGGGTTTTAGATCCATCCACGCTCATATAAAGGACTTAGGCCACAAACACACCTGCAGTGGGTTTTAGATCCATCCACGCTCATATAAAGGACTTAGGCCACAAACACACCTGCAGTGGGTTTTAGATCCATCCACGCTCATATAAAGGACTTAGGCCACAAACACACCTGCAGTGGGTTTTAGATCCATCCACGCTCATATAAAGGACTTAGGCCACAAACACACCTGCAGTGGGTTTTAGATCCATCCACGCTCATATAAAGGACTTAGGCCACAAACACACCTGCAGTGGGTTTTAGATCCATCCACGCTCATATAAAGGACTTAGGCCACAAACACACCTGCAGTGGGTTTTAGATCCATCCACGCTCATATAAAGGACTTAGGCCACAAACACACCTGCAGTGGGTTTTAGATCCATCCACGCTCATATAAAGGACTTAGGCCACAAACACACCTGCAGTGGGTTTTAGATCCATCCACGCTCATATAAAGGACTTAGGCCACAAACACACCTGCAGTGGGTTTTAGATCCATCCACGCTCATATAAAGGACTTAGGCCACAAACACACCTGCAGTGGGTTTTAGATCCATCCACGCTCATATAAAGGACTTAGACCACAAACACACCTGCAGTGGGTTTTAGATCCATCCACGCTCATATAAAGGACTTAGACCACAAACACACCTGCAGTGGGTTTTAGATCCATCCACGCTCATATAAAGGACTTAGGCCACAAACACACCTGCAGTGGGTTTTAGATCCATCCACGCTCATATAAAGGACTTAGGCCACAAACACACCTGCAGTGGGTTTTAGATCCATCCACGCTCATATAAAGGACTTAGGCCACAAACACACCTGCAGTGGGTTTTAGATCCATCCACGCTCATATAAAGGACTTAGGCCACAAACACACCTGCAGTGGGTTTTAGATCCATCCACGCTCATATAAAGGACTTAGACCACAAACACACCTGCAGTGGGTTTTAGATCCATCCACGCTCATATAAAGGACTTAGACCACAAACACACCTGCAGTGGGTTTTAGATCCATCCACGCTCATATA